AATTTCCATCAAATGTATAAAAAAAAAAACAAAAAACAAAAAGTCTGAAAAGCTTTATATGTAAGGGAAAATATACAGATTCCAATTCTATTTTACGTAAGCGTCACAAGAAGTTCCTCAGTATTTTTACAACCTCGAAAATGCCCTAACAAGTTATATCATTTAATAAATGAACGTGAAGGAACATCTCATATTTTTACTAGCGATATTTACATGTACTTCTTCCTGTCACTTGGTTCCACCTCTGAGATTTCAGAGACTTTTGTTTGCTCTTGATCTGCTCCCAGTTTTCATTGTTGGACGATTCATTACTTTCTCTTATCTTCAATTGCATTTAGGTTACAATATAAAGGAAAAATCAAGATTATAAAACTCATGTGAGTGTTAATATTTTATTTCATTTATTATGAATTTAATTCTTCATTGATTTGTTTTGCATATATTTTTTAATGTTTTTATGATAAGTAAACTGCTTTTCTGTTCATTTCAAGTATAGGGTGTTATTTCTTTGTTTGCATACAATTTTCCGCATTTCATCAGAGACAACTCTTTACTTCTTCGCATGGAAACTGTGTCACATGATTGCATACGTGATTTATGACAAATTTATTATTACTATCAATGCAACGTGATTGATATCAATTTAGAAGCAAAGGTTCTAAGAGAAATTTGTCTTGTAATAAAAACATATCCTTAGTTTGATTTAAAAGGCAAGCATTAAAATTCATTTAAAAACAAATAGAATATAAGAATTATTTATTTCAAGCAAATTCAATTTATTGAGATTTCAATAATCAATTACGAATGTCCCCAATTAATCAATTGAGAATTCTTTGATCAATTACAAATGTCCCCAATTAATCAAATGAAAATTCTTTGATCAATTACAAATGTCCCCAAACAACCACTTCTGCCGGGTCAAGCTTATTTGGCGATCCCCCGACGTTCTGTATTTGTACATATCGCCCGGATGTACCAGAAGGGCACCAGACAGAAAACCTTTGTCCAACTTTTGTAGGTCCCGAGAAATGGCCACAAAAATGCATGACGTACGGTGTTTTGCCTACTCTGACGTCAACGTCATGAAGTCGGCCACCTAAAGTGTATATAAATATAAAGTGAAGAAAAGTACAAAAGTACTTAGATTAAAGCCATCTTATGAAAAAAAAACTTTATTATAAAGATTGTTAATCTTGTTTATATGTGCGTCTCACTCTTTTTTCATTTTTTAGATAAGTGATACATTTAATTATTTACAGTTTTCATAGATTTCCATTTAGCCACTCGGTTACTGGGGAAGGATTGATAATTCAAAACAAATCTGAAGTGACAACGCAGCACAGTTAAGGTTACAGTCCCCGACATGTAGATTTAAACCACATTACATTTTTTTATATCAGTGAAGTCCTAAAAAGAATCGCCAATCCTAATAAAGTATGTTTTTTATCTTTAAAAATCGCCGATATTTCCATTTGTAACCTTAACTGTGCTGCGAATGTTTTTTTGTACACTTAACGAATCAAAAAATGATATGCTGACTATCGCTGGAGTTTACAGCTTTTAATGTCTTTATTTTAATTGCTAAAATAATTAGTTTCGATAACTAATTTTAAAAATATTGAAATGCTGAGCATCGCTGGAGTTTACAGATTTTATTATCTTTATTTCATATTACACGACTTAAGTCGGTATTTCTATCCCTTTAATAATCTTCATAATATAAACATCGCCCAACCCTCAGTTCATTTTTTTTTCAGATTATAGCAGCTTATTATTTTACAAAAGGAAAATAACCAAGCAATATCATTGTCTCATTGCCAACTAATATGTCTCACTTGTCAAAAAATTGAGAGGGGGGCTGTTTGTATTATAATGATAATTAGACGAATAAAAATGATCACACCTGCGCTGTAATATAATAAGGAGAGGCAGAGATTGACCAATCAAAATCTAACAAATGAAATTCCGACCACCTAGTGCGTCACTCTGCCTTTTCTCCCATCTATACCCTTGGAGGACGGACGTTTTTCAAAGTTTGTTATTTACCTCCTTCCAAACCGCCTCCACCATTTTTGTTTAATGTTTAAATTTATGTTTTAGCGTTTTCAGACCCATTTTTATGATTTCTCTGTTAACTCTAAGTGGATTATCTCCCTTAACAAAATTGGTTTATTTCTCATTTTTATATTTTGTGTCCGCTAAAAATTATATGTCATTGTAAATAATACTTTTGAGAATTTCTAACAAATTATTAAACGTCACAAAGGTGGCAACACACGACAAACTGTTTTACAGACTTTTTACTCATTGAACATGTTGAAGGAGGATAAGATAAGGTGTGCTAGCGTTTAAAGGATCATGAAAAGAAATTAGCTAGTTGATGGGTAACCGGGCTATCAAAATACTTATTGCATTAAAATAAATACAATAAAAGCAGGTAACTAAGAAACATGGTATTCAAGGTAATTAAGTGTGTTTGATATTTCGACTGCTGATTACTTACCACAGCAATCCGGTCTAGTGAAGACCTCTACTTCGTGAACTTTATAGTTCTTTCCTAGATCAATCCGAAGCCATGGGAATCTTTCTGTTTTGGTATGGGCGAAGTCTGTGAGGAGACCATTGACAGCATTCGATGCTGGCCATTTTCTGGAATCATAATTAGAACTTTGGACTGCCTGTTTTCCATACGCCACGTTTCTAAAGTGGTTACCGTGGTGGTGGTAATGGAAGAGGTGATATGCAGCAGCCTCAGCGAAGCAAATGACCAGAAGGAAAACAGGCATCAGAGAACCCGCCATTATTGACATTTGGAAAATCGTAACGAAAATAAATTGTTATCCTGTTCAAAATTCCTTTTTATAGAGAATTCTAATGCATTAATATGTCAGATACATAATAAAACTTACATGTGACTAGAACACAGATGTACTTATAATTCGGGATATTTTGATAATGCATTGATAATTTTTTAACGAAATTTGATTCCACTAGCTGGACATTGACAGGTGAATTTAATTACTGATAATATGATGTCATCATTTTAATTGAATTCCAATTTATGTGGGTTTCATAATTGAGTAATATGCTGAAAAGAATGTTTGACAATGCAAATATTTATGTTCAATATACAACTTAGCTTGATGCAAAGCATTACATCGGTCACAAAAATATTTTTGTAAGCATTCTGAAGTATTTCCACGAGAAGGACTCCAAAGAAAAAAAAATAAAGTAGATAAAGCATGTTACGTTTAAACTTGATTTCTTGTTCTCACAGGCGCTTAAAGTTTTCAAACTTTCTTTACATAAAAAAATACCCCACATTATTATTATAGTATGGGAATGTTTTTTTAAATATAAAAAGAAAACGCCAAGCGCCTGTGGTTTTCTCTGTATTTTGTTTATATTTAAGTTTTCAGTGATCAATGTTGGATATTAAAATTCAGTTCTTAATTTTTTCACAATTTGTTTATTACTGTATGCACTCTAATTTATATCCGGAAACGCAGTGCATTTTGTTTTTATATCTTAAAGACAACTCTGTTTTGGAGCAGTTCATGTTACAACTTTATTTTCTTAATAAAATTATAAATCAATCTGATGAGAAATGCAAAACGAACTTAAACGCAATATCAATCATTTAAACTAAGTAGAACAACTTTAATAAATAATTTTTAGTACTCCTTGAATGAGCAATCAGCTCATTTACATACAGAGAGAGCTAAGGAAGTTCTACTGTTGAATATTCTACTGTGGGACCTTGTTTATATTTCCTGTACAGTTTATCGGTTTGAACATTCCCTAAATGTTCAGTGCAAAGAGCCACTGCTGAATACTTAATAACTGTCCGTCCATTTATAGAATGTTAAACTTTACTTGAACTTTGGAAACTAACATCGAGTTATAAATTAAGCAAAAAAAAAGTTAAGTGTCAAATGAAAAGTATAGGTACTTTTTACACTACATTTATTTTCCTGTGTATATTTGTTTTATTTTTTAGCATTCTGTGATAAATTGTGAAATATTAAATTCAGTTCTTGTCATATTTTTCACAATTTTTTTTATTATTTAATGCATTTTTATTTATATCTGGAAACACACTGTAATACTTTACGTCCAGTTGTCTTATGTAAGAATCACTTAGGAGCTTTGGAAACTAACATTGATTAATAAAGTAAACAAAGAAATGGGATGGCTCAAGTCATATAAAAATGAAATAAGGTTGGTCATAAAGTGGGGCCAATCGTAATTATACTACATAACCTTGCTATTTATTTCTGACCAGGTTTAACGTATTACATAATATTTTGATTTAAGGAATGAAGCTTATTTCAACTTATGTTATACGATAGAACATAACTTGGGGCAGTTTACGCTTTATAAACCGCGAAGCGGTTTATAAAAAGGCATAAACTGCCCCAAGTTATGTTATGTCGTATAACATAAGTTGAAAGAAGCTTCATTCATAATAATTTAATTTCAATGTACACAATGAGACAATTTTTCCATTTTTTTTCTTCGGAAAAAGGCTTCAAACATCGCATATTTTAAAAGTTAACGTCAAGCGGAGTAATACGTTTTTGACGTAACTCATTGTGACGTAGGCAAGTTATGTTATACAAAATGGATAAAACCGTTTAACCAATCAAATGACGTGTTACAAGTGAAATTAAATTATTTTTAATTAAACAAAAGGGGTGAATGAATTTAGGGTAAATCAAATCATGATGATTGTTTGTAACCAAGAAGTATAGGTAAAATATCAAATTAGTTTTCCTTGAACTCTTTATTTTGAAATAGATTATGACGTTTATTTATATGTTTAAATGTATTGCACAGTTTATAGGCTTCCCTATTAAACTTACTCTTGATAAAATTTATAAACATGTATCTTCTTTTTAATGTTAAATGTACGAGGACTGTTCAATAAACAATGTCTTGAGCTCGATGAAATACAACATATAAATCATATGACATTAAGCTTGACTTTCACTCATTATTGAATCTTTAATTGATAACAGTTTAGGTGTCCACTTTTCATCACATAGTTTCATTCTGGGAAGCTAGAAAACAAGGGCTATTCGAGACACTGCATTGAAATGAATGGTTAAGAATGAGTAAAGTAGAGAGAAATTAAATGCTTCATTAAAGATATTAAAGCTACTGTAAAACTTGTTGCGAAACCCAAAGAAAAATTAACTGAAATATTTGAAATTTACAGTAACCAATGTGTGTTTTATACACACATGAGCAGATGGATTTCAATGAACAGAATTATATAATGGTCATCTAAAATGGGTACTGTCCTTGGCGACAAGGACTTACAACAACCAATGTACTGTTTTCGAAAATTCAACAGATTATAACTGATTGTGTTTGATTGACTTTAAGATATTAAGCAAATTGGACAGGTATCATTTTTGGGGTAGTTCACTTTGTTTTACAGTAACATCTGATACTAAAAATGCTGAGTACTCAAAGGTCGCCCTATGTTTTGAAAATGAGTGAAAACGACAGCGTATAAGAATAGCTAAACAATTATTTTTTAAAAAATCTAAAATTATACTTATTCAAGTTTGTCTGAAATTGAAACAAATAATGAAACTTGAATCCATTACTTTAAACCCTCAAAACAAATTTACAATAAGATGCACTTGACAAAACAGCAAAGGCCTTTCCGAGCACCGATGACATTATTTATTGAACAGCCCTCCTATAGACGAAGTACGAAAAGATTTTACTGCCTTCACAATCAAAGATTCGGGGAGTTTATTGTCCGTACGTGTCTCACCTCTGTCTGTCTACCTGTGTGGCTGTTTCAAGCTTTAGACTTGATTATATTTTTAATTGGTTAGAGATTGGTTTTCATACTTCACATGGGTATTCTTCCTGGTGACGAGACCTTTCATTGGGAACCTATGTATTGAAATCTTGAGCTTAATACAGCTTAGTATGACTCACTTTTAAAGAAAAAAAAAACAAACACAAATTTTAACCTAAGCACTAACTTTTGAAGAGTAATGTCCTTCACCTGGATACAAGTACTTTCAGAAACATTAACCTTCGCAATGACTTTTAAAGTTGATGTCTGGGGATTGGATATTGTGTAAATTCATTGCGACAGGTCCTTTCTCTGTAATACAGCATTTTTTTTTTTAATCTTGACTTCGGAATTAAAACTGCATTTGAAAAAAAAATTTGACTTTTGTCATATACCCCATACCAAGGATTCAGTGTTTCAAAATCCATTTTGTTTCAACTAATTCTAAATGAAATGAAATCTTGAAATTTGTTTTACCGATAGTGTAAAGGTCGCTTTTGTCCAAAAAAGTTGTCATCAGGTTATTGCTTAAGTCAAGGAAATGAAAAGAGAAAGAAGATTACTGAATTAAAATCTTATTGCTTACACTCTGGGTGACAGGAACTCGGCTTCACCATAGGAAAATTTATTACAGTTCTTCATAGATATACCTTTGATTTTCCGGTTCCCAATATTTAAAAAAATATACCCTTTTAACCCTTTCAGAATACTATGTTATACGTTATACGCATATTTTCACAATGTTTAAGTTGGTGAAAACCCAACGCAAAGTTAACTTTCATATGTATTTATTTCAAAGATATTTTTAAAAACATTTCTATAAAGACACTTTTACACCGATCGACTTTGCTATTGTTTACCCTTACAGTAAAGGGACTTGAGAGAAACAAATCTCTTATAGATTTTATCAAATTATTCGTAAAAGTGTAGGATTTTTAAATAATTTCTAAAAACGTTGCTGTTTTGACATTGCTGATGGTTTTGTACGGGACAAGACAAAAATATTTGTTAAACAAACCAGGGATTCCAAAAGTTTACTCTTTCATTCTTTACAAACCGCGTGTTTATAGAATTTCTGCAATCGATCACTGTTTGGTATTTGCATCTCATAGATTCTGGTAGTTTTTCCAATAAAAGTGTTGGTTTTATTTGATTCTGTTTGTTTTTTATGTGTTTTTTCTTTACATTAATTGGTAGTTTAGCATAAACTTTCGGTTTCTCGGTCCATCTCCAACGTACTTGACGGAGAATCTTTTAACAATTAACCAAAAGAAACCACAGATAAAAAAAAGATACCCTTCTGAAGATTGGCGGACCATACATAATATCATTCTTCAAAAAAGTTACATCCACACAATTTTTTTCGAGCACTTATGGTCAACAAGACTTTTTGCTTTAGAGACCAGACATTGCGCGCAGTACAACATGTGGACTTTATTATCACATAATGAATTATTCGACATATAAAATCATTAAGAGTTAGACATCAAATTCACATGCAATTTTATTTAATAAAATAACAATAAAACCTGTCGCACAAAGAATCCATAGAACCTTTAAAACCTTTTTTCAGCTCTTTCCTAGTAATTGTATCTCTTTAACACTTGAAAAAAAAAAATACTCAGTTTACATCTCTTTATAAAATGAAGATACTTATAAAATATTAAAGGCTAATATCAATAACATCTGTTGTTAACACATAAGTTGTTAGAAATATGTTTTGTTTGACACCTACTGAAATATGCTATTGAAATAAATTTGCATGTTTTAAGTTTCAGTCTTGATCCAAATTGGTGACTCAACAACTAACAAACAGTTAAAAATATATGTCATATTTATTCACAGTATTCATGGTATTCAATTTTTGTTAGAGACAAAGACGTTGTAAATATATTTCCGGACATTGCTAATGACTTTTGCATGGATTAGGCCAGATGACTTCATATTCGAAAACACTACATTAGATTTCTGTTAACTTCCATTTATACTTTAAAATATCGGGTTTTTTTTTTATTGC